GCCGTTTTACGCGGCGCTCGTTTAAGAGTAGGTTTTTACACACACACACAGACACAGACAAAGATCCCCCGTATAGCCTGTAACAGACTGTAGGGGCAAGTGCTGTTAGCGAGCACCCATGAAGGCCGGAACGGTACACGAGGGGGTGGGTGTGGCCAGCACCACGCCCGACCGCCTTTGTCTCTCCCTAGTGGCGATGTTTTACACACCGCACCAGGTACTCATCTGAGGCTTGAGTCGACCTAGGGGAGGCCCGGGACCGGTTCAGATAATCGTCACGGGTGTTGGCCGTGAGCGGAATCGAACCCAGGTCGCCGGGTTCGGAGCGCAGCGTAGCGCTAACCGCTACCACTACCACCGCTCCCCCCCTTACACACACACACATACACACACACATACACACAACACACACGTAACGTGAAACATTTCTTTGAGAAGTCTCCGTTCCGCGAGCGTATTCTCGAGGGTTAACGCCACGGGCGGCTCTGGGGGCCCCAGGAAGGAATGGGAGCCACCGCTTCAACGCTGATCATCGGTGACGGCAGCGATATTGGGAAGCCGCTGAAACTGTGCGCTGTTAATGTGGACTGAAACACCCATTCCTCTCGAACTGCTTTTTGGGGTTTTTTTAGTTCTGTTGACCTTGCACCTGCACCTCCGAGTAGCGCGGTTTGGCTACGTATGGTGCGAAAGAACTCCTCCAACAAACACGCGTACATAGCTCACACGGAGACCCATAGACTCACACAGAGACCATTAACTCACACACAAACCCAGACTCACACAGAGACCCATAGACTCACACAGAGACCCAAGACTCACATAGAGACCAAGACTCACACAGAGACCCATAGACTCACACAGGACCCATAGACTCACAAGACCCCAGACTCACACAGAGACCCATAGACCACACACAAACCCAGACTCACACAGAGACCCTAGACTCCACAGAGACCCACAGACTCACACAGAGACCCATAGACTCACACAGAGACCAATAGACTCGCACAGAGACCCACAGACTCACACAGAGACCCATAGACTCACACAGGCACCCATAGACTCACAAAGACCCTAGACTACACAGAGACCCATAGACTCACACAGATACCCACAGACTCACAGAGACCCATAGACTCACACAGAGACCAATAGACTCACACACAAACCCAGACTCACGCAAGACCCACAGACTCACACAGAGACCCACAGACTCACACAGAGACCCATAGACTCACAAAGAGACCCATAGACTCATAGAGAGACCCACAGACTCACACAGAGACCCATAGACTCACACAGAGACCCACAGACTCACAGAGACCCATAGACTCACACAGAGACCCATACTCACACAGAGACCAAAATAGACTCGCACGAGACCACAGACTCACACAGAGACCCATAGACTCGCAGACCCATAGACTCACACAGAGACCCACAGACTCACAAGAACCACAGGCTCACACAGAGACCAAGAGACTCACACAGAGACCCTTACACAGAGACCCAGACACTCACACAGAGACCCATAGACTCACACAGAGACCCATAGACTCACACAGAGACCCATACTCACACAGAACCCACAGACTCACAAAGATACCATAGACTCACAAAGAGACCATTAGACTCACACACAAACCCAGACTCACGCAGAGACCCATAGACTCACACAGAGACCCATAGACTCACACAGAGACCCATAGACTCACACAGAGACCCATAGACTCACACAGAGACCCACAAACTCACACAGAGACCCACAGACTCACACAGAGACCCATAGACTCACACATAGACCATAGACTCACACAGAGACCCATAGACTCACACAGAGACCCACAGACTCACAGAGACCCATGACTCACACAGAGACCATAGACTCACACGAGACCCATAGACTCACACAGAGACCCATAGACTCACACAGAGACCATAGACTCACACAGAGCCCCATAGACTCGACACAGAGACCCATAGACTCACACAAGACCCATAGACTCACACAGAGACCCACAGACTCACACAGAGCCCATAGACTCACACAGAGACCGACAGAGTCACACAGAGACCCATAGACTCACACAGAGACCCATAGACTCACACAGAGACCAACAGACTCACACAGAGACCATAGACTCAGACAGAGACCCATAGACTCACACAGAGACCCATAGACTCACACAGAGACCCATAGACTCACACAGAGACCCATAGACTCACAATGCGACCCATAGACTCACACACAAACCCAGACTCACACAGAGACCATAGACTCACACAGAGACCCATAGACTCACACAGAGACCCATAGACTCACACAGAGACCACAGACTCACACAGAGACCCAAGACTCACACAGACCACAGACTCACATAGAGACCCATAGACTCACACAGAGACCCATAACTCACACAGAGACCAACACTCACACAGACCCATAGACTCAGACAGAGACCCATAGACTCACACAGAGACCCATAGACTCACACAGAGACCAACAGACTCACACAGAGACCATAGACTCACACAGAGA